AGAAGAAGAAGAAGAAGAAGAAGAAGAAGAAGAAGAAGAAGAAGAAGAAGAAGAAGAAGAAGAAGAAGAAGAAGAAATTCCACCTCCCTCCTTATGGCTGCCTCCCTGCCCCCACCCCTGCTATGGATAATCAATTGAAGTTACTCTCCTCCATTTTCTCCTCCTCCCCCCTCCCTCCTCCTCCTCCTCTTCCCCATGCCCTCATTACTCAGAACTAACCCCAGGAGGAGCTGTGAGCACTGGCCATCACCCCGGAGGCACTGACAGACACTGTGTCTAGGATGCTGAGAGTGGTCGCCCTGGCCCTCCCCACACCTTCTCAGTGAAGCCAGGGACAGCTTGACATGCCCGGCCGGCAGCCCTGTCACAGCCCCTTGGAGCAGGTAAAAGCAAGTCAGGCAGAATGATGAGGCACAGCGAATGCCAGAAGGGACTCTGCAAGACTGGCCACATGTCAAGGAGGAGATGAGGGGGCAGGCAGGACAGCAGCACCTGGGGCTTCTGAGGGAGCCAGCAGAGGGAAAGAACAGCGCCTGAGAGCCAGGCTCCCTCCCGTCACTGCTGGGCTGACCAGCAGGGAGGCTGCATGCTCCCACACTCCCCACGCATTGGTCTTGCCAAACAGAGATAAAGGCTCTAGGGCATCTGAGGCAATGCATGTGAGGTTCTCCTAAGGCAAGGGAATTCTTGATCTCCTGGAAGACTCAAGCTTGACAACTCAGAATCCTATGTGTCCTGCTCAAATGCCGCTTCCTCCACGAAGCCCTCCCTAGACCACCCATGTCCACTTGCGTTCTTTCATTCTCTTTCTTTGCCTCTGCTTTTTTTTTTTTTTCCCACAGCATTGTTGTTATCCGGCTCTACATTGGTCATGTGTTAGTTTATGTGTTGATTTTCTTCTATCTGTCCCATGAGAGGTCGAGTCCTGTCTGGGCCACCACTATTCTTGGAACCAAGTACATTCTTTAAACAGTTGCCAGATCATTACATCAATCCATCAAGCAGTGAGTCGGCCATGGCTGCTCATCTTCATCTGTATCCCAATGCTATTGTTTCTTCCCTCAGAGGCCATCAGCTGATCCTGAGCTCCCCAGGAAAGCTCCCAGCTGGAGCTCTACCTCCCCACTGCCCAGCCTAACCCATCCTGCGTGGCCTTCTGGCCAGAAGTGATGAGAGGTGGGAGCTTGAGGTCATTTATTCACTCACACTCATCCATTGCCCGCTATCACACACTTACCTAGCCAATGGTAGCCTACCACCAACCCAACGGTCTCACCCCAGGCTCTGCTGTGTCTACATCTTTGTTTTCAAGGTTGTTCCTTTTATGATGGCCTCTGCCATGCCATCCATAGCCAATCTACATTTCAGCCCTGCCAGCATCCCACTCTTCCAGAAATCTTCCTCTTGACCTACTGCAGAGTAAAACCAGCACTGTTTTAAAGTCTGATGGAACTAAATTGAAATTCCAGTTGTATTAGTCAGATGTTGGTTACTATAACAAAAAGCCTGAGGTAAGCACTCTCATAAGGAAAGGGGGTTTAGTTTGGTTCATGGATCAGGAGGTGTGACATGTAGAAGACTCATCTAGTGATATCCTTGCTATCGAAATCCATAGGCAACACGGAGCACCACACGGCAAGAAACAGGGAGGCCTCATGTGTGTCTCCTTCAGTCCTTCTCCCTTTGCTTATTGACCCCAGGGCCCAATAGGAAGCTCTACCCTGACCTTACCTAATAAGCCAGGTCACTTTCCAAAGGCCCCTTCTAAATACTACAGCCATCCAATCTCTGCCTTCTCAACATCTCACAAAGGGCTTTAAGTCTCAGCACATGAAGTCTCGGGGACACTTGAGCCATACAAGTGTCCAAACAAGAGGTAGCACTAGCTATGTGTCATAGAACAAGCTACCCCTCTAAGCCTGAACTTACTCACTTATAAAATGGGCAACAGCAGACCAGATGTAGGGGTGCACATCTGTTACCCCAGCACTCAGGAGACAGAGGCGGAAGGAATACTGCGAGTTTAAACCAACCTGGTCTATACAGAACGTTCCAGACCACCCAAGGCTACTTAAAAAGACTGTGTCTCAATCAATAATACATAAGTAAGTGAATAAATAAAATGAACACAGGAACTCCTCGGCAGCACAGTTGTCGAGATGGTGAGGGTTAGGAGTGTCAAGCCACACGACGCAGCATTAAGCCCACAGGAGGTGCTCAGTAAGTCACTGACCCCTCCATGCCCATGTGGATCCTCTAGGTTCTCGAATTTGGTTAGCACATGATGAGAAGTCTGCAGTTGTCTTTGTATTGTGAGCCTTAGCACCTCCCTAATTTGAGTCTTGGGTCCTTGAGGGGAGAGATGGCACTTTCTGTTTTATCATGAACCCCAAACATGCTGCTGTGTACACAGCACAAAGCTCTTCCACACATGTTAGCTCAGGTAACTCTGTAATAACCCTGTGGGTTAGACCAATGGTGTTGCTGTCCCTGTCTTGGAAGTCGGTGCCGGTTCTGAGTGGGTCCATGACTTGCCCGCAGGTCCAGAGCCAGCGGAAACAGCAGGACAGGTTTCTAGACTCGGATACAGAACCCTTTGAACCCTACCCTCCAAAAATGACCCACCCTCCCTCCCTGAGGATGCTCGCCTCCCATTTATACACTGGGGGCCATGGCAGCCATGACTGTACCACAGGGCCCTGCCTTACTGGCCGTAAGTGGGTAAGCTCAGGAAGAGTCAACTAATTTCTCCACCAAGCCTGTTTTAACTCCAACCTAGGCCACCAGAGTCTACCTTCAAGGGACTTAGAGCTTGAAAGCAGTGACCTCTGTTGGTCACCTGAATTGTAGGGACCCATAAATTCAGGAGCTCTAGGGTCCTGTACTCAGAAGAGCTAGGGAACCAAGGTACCAGAGAGGAGAAAGAGGAAGCAGAGGCCATTGCCGGGGTCCTAATTCTCCTCAGTCCTGATTCCCTGTCACCTCTTGTGATCTGGATCTTCAAAGATCACTCACATTTGGGATAATGGCCCCAAGGTTTCAAATCCTTCTCTTTTAGGCTTAAAGCCATTGAGTTTTCTGTAACAAAAAGACCCAGAACGAAGACAGACTCCAGCCAAGGGTAATTCTTCTACAAAAGCTACTCTTGAGTAGTGTCCAAGGATGACTATCAGACTTCTCCTATAGGCTGGAGACAATGGCTCCGCAGTTAAGAGCACTTGCTGCTCTTCCAAAGGACCCAGGTTCAGTTCCCAGCACCCACAGTTGGCTTTACAACAAGGAGACCAAACATCCTCTTCTGGCCTCTGAGGACACCTGCACTCATTACACATGACCACATACACATAATTAAAAATAAATATTTTTTTTGGACAAAAGCTATTCTCCTGGTGCCACTAAAAGATCATTTGCCATTTTCGTTCTCATTTTCTTACAAGCGTACAGTGAGGTTTTCCAGAGGCTACATGACATTTGACAGGGCTTTCAGTGTGCACTTGTATATTCATGAGCTACATTCATAAGCTGAATTTTGTCTTAATTTCAAATAGAGCAAATCATTAGTGAGATTAATGCCACCTGTTATATTCAGAACAATAGCCTTGCGGGGCTGTCAGTATTTGTTAAGGGTGTAAAAAAATTCCAGAGGCAGAGAGAGAAGGGGAGGGCACTGCTCTACTTACTACCTTGCCATTGAATGCATGGTCTGCAGACCAGCAACACCCGGGAGCTTATCTTCCAGGCAAGAACTTAGCCCCCCATACCCCAGAACTACCACTTCAGAATTTGACCTTTAGCAACATCCCTGGTGTTAGGGGAAATTCAGTCACACTGTGAACCCCGAGTTTGCATTAATTAAATAAAATTAACCTTGGGTCAGGAGGCTGTGTCAGCAACTAGTTGACAGAAAGTAATGAGAGAGCCTCAAAGAGCATCTGGGGGGGGAGAGACACACACAGCAAGTAGGAGGGCTGGCTTTGGAGTGATGCAGGTTTTTCTGGTTGAGCAAAAGGGAAACATGAGTCTTCCATGGATGCCAGCAAGGAGAGAGGGTGAGCTAGTTACTGCCCAGCCTCTCTGAGCTCGTAGGTTTTCACCCCAGCCTTTGAGTCTTGAGTCTTATTCATGATTAGAACGATAGAGATTTAGTTCGAGCTGCCTTGAGGGGCAGCGACAGGACCCGTGCCTGCGGGAACAGAATTGTCGCCAAGCTGTGGCCTGAGCAGCCAGGCCTCTGCTAGAGAAGCGGGTCGGAAACTGCAGAGTTGCAATTGCTGGCTGAGGTAGCAGCAGATTAAGGTGCAGCCACCGTGCTGGCGTTAAACAACACCCTGTGGTCTTCACGTGCACGTACAAGTTTGGAAAACACTGGGCTGTACCACGAGTGTACCAACAATTACTAATTTGATTGATTGGTTGATAATACAAGGGCTAATCACAAGAATTTCATTAACTTTTTAGGTTAAAGTTACCATAGACACAATTATTAATTGTTGGATATGAACTGTCCTCACCCCCTCAGAGAACATAGAGTATTAAAACTCAGAAATTTGGGGCTGGAGAGACGGCTCAGAGGTTAAGAGCACTGGCTGTTATCCCAGAGGTCCTGAGTTCAATTCCCAGCAACCACATGGTGGCTCACAACCATCTGTAATGAGATCTGGTTCCCTCTTCTGGTCTGCAGGAATACATGCAGACAGAACACTGTATACATAATAAATAAATAAATAAATCTTAAAAAAAAAACCTCAGAAATTTATCCACTTTACTTACAATATCCTTCCATATCTGTCCTTTATTGGGCACTCAAATTTGGCTATGTGTTTTAATTATTCCCAACTCACTGATGGCCCAGATCACAGAAGTTATATGATTCACCCAAGGTACAGCAGTAGGTGGTGGAGCTAAGATCGGCACTCCTGCCGTGGAAGCTAAAATAAGGGAAACCCGTCCAAGACTCACTATTGAAGCCCTGCCCCCTTCATGTGTCCAGAGTAGCTAGGGTCCTGTCAATGGCCTGTGGGATGGAGATCAGGCTCCTCCTGCATTCCCAACAAGCTCCCAGGTGAAACTGAGGCTATAGTCCAGACTACACAGGCGGATATCAGGCCCCAGTGTGGTTGCTCCAGAAAGTTCCAGCGGCTGCTGCAAATCCTTGTAAAAGCTTAAAGCTGTGGACAAGGCAGCTTCCCACACTTGTTCAGCTCAGACACTCACTTGTACACCCTCTGCCTCCTCCATGGCTCTCAGCCTGGTGACATGTCCAAGGTGTCACCGTATAACCTGGAGCCGTTAGCTGTCGCTCAGTCATGAAGTTCAAATATGACTTGGCTTCTTGCTGTCCTCGTTCTGTTCATTCATTTAGCCTAGCCGTGCACGGTCCTGGGCCAGGAGGGACTCAATGGGAGAAGCAGACTTGTGTTCAAGTTCTTCTTTCTTTCTGACCAGATTGAGCAACACTGAGCAAGCTGCTTAACCTTTCTAAAATACCAAGGCACAATTGTGCTGCCATGTTTTCCAGTAGCTGCTTTTTTAAAAGGGATAAGTGTAGCTCAGTGGTTAGCAACTAGTTAGCACATTTAGACCTGGCTTCAGGACCCAGGACCCCACACAAAAATAAAATGAGAGGTGTGCTTTAATTTTAATAACATTTTAACCAAGTATAACAAAATATGTTATTGTTTAAAACATATAGAAATTAACAATGAGGGTGTTCTGCATTCTTTTTTTCATCCTAAGCCATCAGAATGTGGTGCATATTTTACATTGGCAGCACCCCCCAATCTGGACTAGCATGTGCTAGGTAGCATGTGCAGCCAGAAGCTGCTGCAATGGACTGTTAGAAATGGAGAACGCAGAACCTAAAGCCTCCAGTACAGCATCATGGCTCTCTAGAGTGGGCTCACTCAGGAGCCCTTCACCCTGCCTGATTTTGAGTGAATATAAGGGCCAGTGGGTACTGTCACTCCTAACACCTCCATGGAAAAGACACCCAGCCCCTACTCATTAACGGCAATCTCCATCTTCTACACATGCCAGGAGTACCATTTTCCACAGTGTATTCTACAAAGTCTGGCAGGGGCAGGGCAGGGGAGGGTGGAAGCAGTTGGGAGGTACACAGCTCTTGGCATTCACAACAGACACAGAAACTCCATCCCCCCACCCCATGCTTCCTTCAATGATGGGATAGACGTTTCTTTGATCACTGTCGCACACACACACATCACAGTGAAATAAAATGGCCAAGCAAGTTCATCCACAGCTGTAGGGAACCATTAGGTGAAACCCTGGTGAGGGACATGATGAGAGAGAGACTGGGCTGCCACAGCAATTCTGATCAGTTTGAACACCACTGAAGGCAGAACAGCATGCAACACACACCCCTGAAGTGATAAAAAAAAAATACGTATCACCACCCAGGAAGGATGCTCACCCCTTGGAATAGATACACACATACACACAGAGATCCTGGACCTATTCAAATCTCCAAGCAACCATAGTGCTCCTCAACCCACAGAGAACATGATCCAAGACACCCCGTGGACTCCTGAACCTCAGAGAGTATGATATGAGCCCTATAGTTGAATGCCTTATCCATCTTAACCAAGCACTTATGTGCCATGACCATAACTTTTGTTCTTCTGGGGTGAAACAGCAAATGTAGCACAAATCCCTTTCTCCTTCACAGTTTCACAGGAAGAAGGCTCGTTCTTACTATAGGGTTTACCAACCTTAGCATATAACACTTTCCTCAAAACTTAAGACAAGAACTTTTGCTTTTTTTACTTCAAGGAAACTATTAATGGGTTCTCTTGGGCATATATGAATTGTTGGTGTCCTTACTATTGCACTGGTAAGTATAATAAGGGTTATTTGAACATAAGCACAGCAATACTACCAGTCTATCTGATACGACAACTGCTAGATAATTAACAGAAGGGCAGCATATATAGAGTGGATACACCGGGCAAGGGTAGTTAGTAGGTATTAGAACAAGGAATAGTTGTGCTGCGTATAAAAATGCCTAATAGAGATACACACTGGGACAGAATGAAACGTATAGGAACTACTTTCAAATACTCCAGTGGGAAACAAGCACATAAGCCAATGAACAATAAACAGGAGGAAAGAATTCATTCAGCAAAATGGTGGAAGTACTAGTAATTGATGAAGGTGGTGACAGCGGGTAAAACTGCACCACCGGATAGCTGGCCTGCCCAGACTGAGTACTGTGGCTCTTATCGACAGTGGGAGCATCTTGGCTCACAAGGTAGCCAGCACTAGACTTCATGCAACAATCACCTGGGAAGTTGCTTATCCTATAGCTCAAGGCCTGATCCCAGACCTAATCACTGAACACAGGTCCTGGGTGCCTAATCTCAGTAGACACTCTCTGTGGCACTACTGTCTACACAACCCAGGCTTACAGTAACTCTCCATGGGCCCAAACCCACAGGGCCCACAGGACGGACTTCTCACCCATAGGAAAGGAAAGGTCCTACCTACAGCTGATAGGAGCTAGACCCCTGAGCCCTCAAACATGGAATCTCCAGTGAAGAGCCATAAGCCCCCATGGAGGTCCCTCTCCACCTCTCCACCTCTCCACCTAGTTATAATGATTCCCTTGGACATTGCCGAAGGTGATCACAGAACGCTTTGCTGAACAAGACCCTGGAGAACCAAATAGAAAAATCTGAAAACATGGTCTTGGCCAGCTCCCTGCTCCCTTAGGAACTAGCCAGTGTTTTCTTTCTCCCCATCAGCGTCTCTCCCATTCTCACCACTGACCCTTTTCTTGTTCATTTCAGGGCCACATGCCTCTAAAGTTCATGCAAAATCCATTCAGGGGACCGCCAGTCACAGCCCGCCTGCTTCCCCAACCAGCTTCTACTCTCTCTAAGGAGGAAAGCATGTCCCCTGGCAAGTGTCCTGAGCCCGTCATTCTGGGAAACCCCAGGGACAGAAAAGCAAGAACTCTTCTCATGACAGTCTCAGAAAATTCTCCTCACCCTCCGCTCTCCCAAGCCAAAGCCCCTCAGAGCGACCTCTGCTTCCTCTCCTCTCTCTTGCCAGCTCTGGATTTCCCAGCCATGCCCAGTCTAGGGCTCCCCCAGCATCTTCCTCAGAGCAGTCTCCAAGTAAGACCATGAGGTGTGTCTATTCAGGTATGCAGGGGACTGGAATCAACCCCAGGAGGGACCGACGGCCTCCCCTCCACTTACCCGTCCTCTGGTCCTGTTCTTGCGCTTGGGAATGTCCTCTTCCAAATCCTCCTCTTCATTCCCTTCTTCTACATTTTCGTCATTTTCCAAAACCCTCTAAAATGACAAGAAAATCAAATACAGGAGTTGAGAGATGAAACACAGATGTGAGAACCATCAAAGGGTAGGTTGGGTGTATTCCGGGGACTTTGTTCTTCAGCAAAGCAAGGGTGCTGCTGCTGCCTACGAGTTGGAAGTCTCTTTGCAATTAGTACTCTTTCAAGCCCTCAGGCCCCTTCCAACCAAATCTTGCCAGGACACTGGCCTTTCTCGACTCTTTACACACACACACACACACACACACACACACACACACACACACACACACGTGTTGAATATAAAAGGCCATTTCTCCCTTCTCCACCTTTGTGAAGCTCTGCCCTGCTTCATAAAAGCAAGGAACTTCCTGCCTAACTGACCAAAATGCAGCCTTAACATGCTGCTCATACTAATCCACTGTGGGGTTGTTTTTAAGAAAAATAGATTTTCAGCAGAATATTAGTGGCACAAGCCTGTAATCCCAGCACAGGAGGGGCAGGAGTTCAAGGCTACCCTCAGTTGCATAGTAAATCTAATCCACCCAAGGTTATGTGTGAGACTCTGTCTGGGTTGGCAGGGGTATGGGGGGAGGGTAAAAGGGATAAATAGATTTTCATCACAGCCCAGGACTTACAATCAATCTTTAAGTTCATTCAAATAACCCCCTCTAATAGCCCTCAGAACATGGCAACCCAAGAGCCAGTTTCCATTTTAAGGAACATAAACTAAGGCTGAAAACAGTTGACCAGTCAGTCTTCCAGCAGAGCCATGACCAGAGAGAACAGGGTCGGGTTGGTTAGCTTTGCTTCCCACTCATTCCCCAGCCCTCGCTGCTGAGACTTCTCAGGTGCATTACAACAAACAGAACCTGCGAGCTTCATTCCCTCCACAGAAGGAAAGGAGAGAGGCGGGCAGAGGGGGGGTCGTGTGCCTCCAGGCCCAAGGTAGGATAAAGGAGCACAGAGGACCCAGTTGCTACCAAGGAGTCCATTAGAGTCCATGCCAGGGACCCACAGGGTGGGAGGAGCTCTTCATGAGCTCACTGATGTGGCTTTGAGCCTCTTCTTATCCAACTAAACACTAGCGATTCTTTGGCTCTAGAAGCATGTGCCCAATGCTGACTACATGTAGGCTCTGTGCCAAGCTAAAAACAAATGGCTACAGTCCTGGCCACGAGTAGACCTTAAAGTGTACTCAAAGGAAGACAGATTTAAATAACACATATAACCGCATAACCCCCCATTGTTGTAATGATTGTGAGGGAGAAGTTCACGGTACTGGGGAAGGGTGCTCCCAGAGAACTCTGCCTGATCTGAAGGCCAGAGGAGACTTTGCTGAGGCTGGGACAAAGAGCAAGGAGGCGGGGAAGATGAGCAAAGGGTGAATGAGAGCCACCCAGACACACTGCCTGCTTGACAGAGGACTATGTATGTGAGTGGAGGGGCTGAGGAGGTTCTAGACCAGCAAGAGCTGGTGAAGCAGTTGGAGGACTATGGTTTGTCCAGCAGGAAGAAAGATTATGGTATGACCAGTGCTCCGTGGCTTGGGGAAAGATGTCGAAGATGAAGCCAGAGAGGTAGCATAATCCTAGGCACAGGGCTACAAGGTGGTGGTGGTGCTGCTGCTGGTGCTGGTAGTTGTGGTAGTTGTGGTGGTGGTGGTGGTGGTGGTGGTGGTGGTGGTGGTGGTGG